CTGCACCAGCCATCTGTGGCCTCCAGCCCACACAAAAGGAGCCCAGACCTTTATATTTGGGGCAGCCGGCCCTGCCAACACAGGCCAGCTGCATCCAGGGGACGGGAGGGACGCACCAGCCTGGGGAGAACCAAGTCGGAGCAGCCCCCAAGTTCTCAGCCTTGGACAAAGCGCGGTGAAGGAGCTTGGAAGGAGCAGGGCACGAGGCACCGAAGGACCTTGGCAGCGAGCACAGGGGGCTCTGCCTCTGCTGGGCAGGTCACGCTCCGGGGCCAAACACCCCCCCTTGAGTAACCAAGCCTCAATCTCACTTGCAACAACTTTCCAAGAGCTTCGGCCTCCCTTTAAAATGCCACGTGGGTTCCTAGTGAAGAGGACACACCGAGAAGGCCCCGTCTCGTACCGGATTCGGGCTCCTCCGGACGAACGTTCCCCACCCGTGCTTCCAGGCGCTGCAGCCCATCGAAAACAGCCCAGGGTTGGGGGGCTGCCTGAAACCCAGGCCCCCAGCCTGGCACCCCGGCGCCTCATCAGTGCCATTCCGCTGGCCGGCTGCCACGACCGGGGCCTCAATTCCGGGTCCCCGGCGCCAGGAGAATCGGCTCCAGCGTGCACATCGCAGGCTCCTGGTTCGGGTTCGGCCTGCGCTGGGGCCAAGCCGATGAAGAGGGTCAGCGTGGCCCGAGAGGGCCTAGTTTTGCTGGGCGCCTTCGTCTGCCAGCTGTGCCAGGAATCCTACCCTGGCCCGCTGGCCTTGGCGCAACACTGTTGCTCCCGCATCGCTCGGGTCGAGTACCGCTGCCACGAGTGCAGCAAAGCGTTCAGCTGCCCCGCCAACCTGGCTTCTCACCGCCGCTGGCACAAGCCCCGAAACGGGGGGCACCTGGAGGGGACCAAGGAGAACGAGAGTCCCAAGCTGGCCCGCACCCCCAGCGCCCTGCTGCACCCTGAGCTCTCGGAGGGGAGTTACGGTTGCCCTCACTGCTCCAAACGGTTCCGACGGCGGGCTTACCTGTGCAAGCACCTGGCCCTGCACGCCGCCACCGGGACGGTGCTGTCCGAAAGCCAGTGTCTGCACGGCAACCCGGCCCCACTCTCTGCTTCCTGGCCTAAAAAGTCATTTTAACACCTGCTCTTCCAAGCGCAGCTGGCAGAGAGACTTCCCACTGGTGCTGAGACGATGTTGCACCTGCAATGGGGCAATCTACTTTTTCACCCCTCTTCCGAAACCTTTGCTGGGGAGGCGGCGAGAACCAGATGTCCTGGGCTGCCACCTGTCTTCCCGCAGCCCCAGATGTGCGGGACCGAAAGCAAACTTGTGGGCTGTGGCAAGGAAGCACCACACTTGTCATTCTGCCCTTGCGAGGGCAGAGACGCTCTTGTTTAAAGATGTGTGTTGAGCAGATCTTGATCCTTGCAAAGGGTTTTTTTGGGACAGTTGGTTATCTCCCATCTCAAAACTGTCAGGGGTCAGAGATGGGGGTTCTTCTCCGCACCCCCAAATTAGCTCCCTACAGATGCATCAGAGCGGCGATGCTCAGAAGAACAAACTTTCCGGCTGTGAAGCTTTCTCTTTGGGGAGGAGGCTGTAAAAAGGGGGGGCTTACAGGGGATTTTTTGTGAACAGATGGAACAGATAGTAAAAAGACTTTTAAAAATCTAAAACTTTCTTGTGTCTTTCTTATGAGTGTAAAAGGAGCTCGCAGAATTAGGATGGGTCTGATGTGTGAGAAAGGAGGTAGGTAAGTTGGGAATTTGAAGTGTCTTTATTTGAAATGTCCAACTTCTGAAGTTGCATCAGTTCCAGACTGGCCTGTCTGAAAAAAAGTGGGGAATCTCACAGCACCTTAAAAGTTACTCCATCTGTGGCAAACACTGGTGGCCACCAGAGCACAAGATCTCTAATGTGCTATTTTTTTAATGTGTAGGCAGGCATTTATTAAAAAAAAAATCTCCCTTGAATGAAACTTAACTCCTGATCATTCCATAAAGACTTTTGTGTTTTTGGGGCAACCATACCAAACTGCTCTGCCATTGTCTTCTTCTAGGGTCTTTTTTCAATGTCTTAATCATGCCTTCGGCCCTGGGATCTCCTGGTGGTTCCCCATCCAAGTGCACCCCAACCCTGGTCCTCATTAGCTTTTCCAAAACCCAGCAAGTTCAGTTGATGCTCAGGAGAAATAACTGTTAAAAAATTGGAATTCTCATTTTGTGAAATGATACAGCCTGTTCTCTTGTTGCAGGACTCTACCACCTTGCTTGTGTAATTGTGGGCTCAGGAGTTTAGCTGCACTTTCTTGTGATGATACAAGAATGAATTTTGGAAAGTAAGAAGAATTACATCAACAGAGAGGCTTCTGCCTCCTTCCATTGGAGAAAGTGTAGGAATTTGCTTGCTGTCTTTTAAGGCCCTGCTGGATATTTTCCCATCTTGAAGAAATCAGATGTATTTTCAGAAGGCTCAAAGTAAAAATAAAATAAAAAGGGAACTTCTCTGCCCAATTATTTGGCAATGTTTCCCAAACTAGGTGCCAGATTGCTGATGGGGAGGAGGGAGGAGGGAGGGAGGGGAAGTCCCTTTGCACATCTCAGAGTTGCTCTTGATTTCACGTGGAAAACTTTCAGGGCTTGGTATTACACTTTTTCCTCTAATCTGGCAAATTAAAATCCAAGCAAGCAGTGTTGGGGCAGAAGTGAGAAACACAGAAAAAAAGGGGGGCTTCAAACATCTAGGCCTGAGTAAGAGCACTAGCAGGGTTCCTCTTTTCCAACCGCCTCCACAAAATTATGCTGCTAAAACTTAGGGAACTGCTGAAATCCATGCTCGGTTCCTCTCTGGTGCAGCAAATGTACTTCTCAGTGCACCATTCAGGAATTCTGCATCTGTGTCTTTAATACTGTACCATGCTTGAGCTGGTGAATTTTAACCTTTTGAAAAAGGGCCGAGCAAATTTTATCCAGGCAGTTGGGGGCTGGCCGAAGTTTCTTTTCCATTGTTGTTCAGCCTCCAAAGACGGCAGGGGCTGTTCCCAGCAATATCTCCACGGAGGTTGGAGCTGAATCTTTCGGCCCTTTTCACTTTTAAGGGTCATGTTTTGTTTATTTTTAAAGCAAAATTGCTTTTAAGACTGAGGCCTAATGCACTTGGGGAGGGGCGTTAAAAAAAAAAACCTGGAAGACTTGCTCTGCCAAATTCTGACAGTGCAAACTTGGGGTTGTACAGCAACAGAAACAGCAGGCTGCCCCCCACCCCACCCCCTGTTCTGCTACAAAAGCAGAGCATTTCTTGGACGCCAGAATTGGCACACACTGCTTTCTTAAAGACATACATGCTCTGTCTCCCAAAGAGGAACCTTCTTTTCCAGATGCATTTTCTCTAGCAAGAGCCCTGCCGTGGTCAGTCAGACATGATTACAGCATGGACTGAATAAGGAGGGAGGGAAAGAAAGGAGGGAGGGAGGGAGAGAGAGAGAAAGAAAGAGAGAGAGAGAGAGAAAGGAAGGAAGGAAGGAAGGAGGGGGGGAGAGAGAGAGAGGGAGGGAGGGAGGGGGAAGCAAGCAAGCTCCAACAGATGGGCACATACCCTAAACCACAAAACTTAGTTCACTCCCACCTCTCCAATCTGTGCTGATTTCCTGGTCAGTAGGAATGCCTGTAAAATGATAGCAATTTCAATCAGTCCAGGGTTGGTTGGTTGATTTCTTCAGCAGAAAAGCAGCACAACGTTTTTTTTAACTATTGCCAAGTTGGAAAACAAAAGAGGTTTATGTCATGCCCAGATCTGGATGTTTCTCTGCTGGCAAAACAGAGGTTTTCAAGAAGGGCTATTCATCACGACTCAAAAATAACAGGATTTTGACACACGAAATCATTTTCCTAAATGGTGGAAGAGCGGTCGATCAATTAAAAAAACAAAAACAACGCAGCTTGCCACCTTTCGCACACCAACATTTTGCCAACCGCCACAACGCATGGAAACGTTCACAAAGCGAGCGCACAGAAGGCGCTGCCTCCAGGGACGAGGGACACGTTGGGTCTTCCCTTCAGCCAAAGGGGGGTGGACGTCTAACCATCGGCACCCTGAGCAGAAAGACGACGGATTCGGCACCGTGGGGGAAAGAAAGAGAGGGAGCGCGCACGAAAAGACGCGCAGCCGAGGTCCTGGCTCAGGAAGGCCGAAGGAGAGAGAAGGGAGTCGGCCCGAAGGCTCTCGGCCAAACCGAAGGGTTAGCCCGCTCAACGACACGGCCGAACCCCGCCGC